TAGAAAACAGGGCTTTGGTCACAGCTCAATGTACATTTTAGTCCCGGTTGCATCACGAACCGAAACTAATATGAGCATTAGTCCCGGTTCAAGCGGCTAAGGCGTCGGGAAGACATTAGTCCCGGTTCAAATGGGACCTTTAGTCCCGGTTTGAGACACGAACCGGGACTAAAGGGCATCGCACTCTTTAGTCCCGGTTCGTGTCTCAAACTGGGACTAAAGATTCAAACTCTACCCCCCTGTGTATCGCCTTTTCAGTCTTTTAAAATCCAAAAGAAAATGATAAAAACTTAAAAAATTAAATCCTTCGAGATGTAGTTATGTTATTACATCTACTAGTTAGGAAAATTAAAAAGCTTAAATTTGGACATATTTTGCAAAAAAAGTGTTATGAAAAAGTAAAACGGTCATATCTTTTGCATACGATGTCAAAAAAAACGCATAATATATCAAAAAAAGCATGAAAATCCACATTCGATTTTGACAGCCTTAGACCTGTTTGCAAAATTTTAGAATCCTGAAATTCTGAAAGAAAACAAATATGCTCAAATTTCAGTTTTTTTGACTTTCCATTAAATCTGATTAAACTGTGGCCAAACTACTTATTCAAGAAATATTAGTGTTAATAAATAATTATTTTTTCTTTTTTGACTTTTGGTCAAACTGTGGTCAAACTATGGTCAAATCTGGTCAAACTATGGTCAAACTACTTATTCAAGAAATATTAGTGTTACTAAATAATTATTGTTTTTTTAGAATAATAGTTTCAAACTCAAAAGGTGCTTAATGCTCAAGTTCAACTCCTAAGTGTTAATAGGATTGACAGCTTAGTATTGTCAGGAAAAGCACTTGAAAACTAGGGGGAATAGAACTCGAAAGTTAAGCATGCTCAGGATGGAGTAGTGAGAAGATGCGTGACTTGCTGGGAAGTTAGACGATTTGGAATGAGTGGTTTATAATTGAGCAGTGAACAGTGATGAGGGATGATTAGAGATTAAATTGTCAAATAATTCAGAAATTTGAAAATAAAAAAAAATAAAAAAAAATTCAACAAAATTCAGAAAAATAAATTTTTTTAAAAAAATTCTTTAGTCCTGGTTGGTAAAGGTGGAGCTCCAGACAGCGGCCACGTGGAGCTTCTTTACTCCCGGTTCATAAGCAAACCGGGACTAAAGGTTTGAGCTTTAGTCTCGACCCTTTAGTCCCGGTTCCAGAACCGGGACAAATGAGCCTTTTTCCACTAGTGGCACGAGCAACTATTTAGTTTACTTATATATATGTGACGATATATGGACCAATTTTGATCGTCGGACATAAGTAGCAGGTAAAATCGTGATAATACTGACCATGTTAATATATGAACCGCCATCATCCACTGGAGGGGGTCCATAGGTGAATTAGGGGCCTCTTGGGCTTAGATTTCTTCAAAAGGTCCATTTTGTGCAAATTTGTCATTAAGAGGGAAGCCAGCTATGCTTTTTGCTGTGGCAGCTCCTAGTTAGCGCTCACTGCGCCTGGTAGCTAGGCAGCGCTCACTCGCCCCCCTGTGTAGGCAGGGCTAGCTATGCGAGCGAGCAGCTCGCTCATCAAGCTCACGCGCCTAGTCGCTCTTCATGGTTGACCTGGTCGGCCTGTAGACCGTTGACTTTTGGAACAAACAGAGTTTCTTTTTGTGAATTTGAATAAAAATCATGGATTGGAAAATAGTTCATGAATTAAAAAAAACACAAATTTGAAATAAAAACAATGATTTGAAAAATAATTCGGATTTGGAAAAGTTCATGAATTTCAAGATGTTTATGGATTTTAAATATGTTCACGAATTTATATAAAAATATAAATTTAAAAAATATTCACAGATTTTAAAAAGTGCATGAATATTAAAAAGGTTTGTGAATTTAAAAAAGTTAAATACAAAATAAATAAATAAAGAAAAAGAAAAACGAAAAATGAAAATTAAAAAACAGGCAAAGAAAACATCGGTCAAAAGCTTCCCAAAAATGGTTTGATGCTTCTAGAAGCTTCCTAGAAGTGACCACAAAGCTGCACAAAAATCAGGAATGTTTCAATGCATTACAGGCCGGCCCAGTTGGTTTACGTACGTGGACGCCTTTAACCAGCGCGGGTGAAGCGCTGAATAGGAAGCAGCTTTGAACCTGCTAGAGGTCGCGAAAAAACATTTTCTATAGGGAAAAAAGATTGGAATTTTTTGTAAACACACTCACATGTATACTATGTATGTGCAAAATTTCATAACATATTACTTTCACATGAGGCGTACAAAGAAAAGACAAATATGTATTTTTCAAATGGGCCTCTTTTTGCTTTTGGGACAGAATTTTTTTTTTGTACAGCTTACACAATACATTTTTTTCGAAACAAAATTTCATGGATCCGCAGTGCACATATAACATGTTTCCACAGATTTTGTTTTTTTTTTGTTTTTTTACTTCTATGTGTGTGTGTGCGCGCGCGCGCGCGCGTGTGTGTGTTTAAAAAAATGAAAATAAAGGGCACCATGGTGCCCGACTGCCCGAGCACCATAACCTCGCACTCCTAGAGGCCGGGACCTTTTACGCGTGGCCAGTCCATCGTGCATGAGCATGAGCAACGACGGGTGTCAGCGAGTAAATTGCATAGAAGTACCACAATTGAGGCATTGGAAACAGATTGGTATCAAGATTGGTAATTTTTACATGTCACTACCAACTTTGGGGCGAGGCGTTGCAAAAAAGACTAAAACTGCAGTTTATACGTATTGACAGGGAATCTGATAGGTTGGGCCCGCCTGTCGGGTGTTGACGTGGCAAATTTTTTGCAGGAAACTCCCTTCGTTTGTGTGTAATCATGTAAATGCCCAATTATTTCGGGGAAAGAGGCTCCTACGAGAGGGGCTTTTTTTCCGTTCGTAATTTCCACCACGGATTCGGACTCGTTTGCAAATTTACGTCGGTTTGAACAAGTAAATAAAAGGAACAAATCCTGAATCCCGCGCAGGAATCGAACCGGCGACCTGAGGTACAGCAGAGCAGCGGGCTAGCCACCCCGCCACGGCTGCCCTCGCGAAGTAAAAGAGGCGAGAACTTCTTTATACTATGCTGAAGACGTTGGGCCGGCGATTGGCCCAGCGTGGCTGCGCGCTGGGTTACTGTTTTTTTTAATCATGATATTAATACATATATATTTTGCGATTACATATTAGTATTATTAAGTGTCAAGCACCAGACTAGAACACAGGCGCGGCCCATATATATTTGTTATTCATGATATTAATACATATATATTTTATTTTTTTAAATGCACAGTTAATTAGAAAGTTGACAACATGTATTAAATATAAATTTGTAATCATAATAAATCTCCAAAATGCACTAAAAGTGTTCAAATTTTATTAAAAAAATCGACGTGTTTCTTGAAATGCAAGAATGATTTACACAATAAGTTTTTAACCCATGTTGAACATTTCTTGAAATGCAAATAATTCACCATGTATTAAGAAAATGTTCACCATAATGCTCTTGAAAGTCATCGTGTATTAAGAAAATGCTCACAATAAATTATAAAAAAATCACCGTGCATTAAGTAAACTTTTCATCATATCTTAAGAAAATATTTCAACATATATTACAAAAATATTCCATTTGCATTCAAATTATGTTCAACGTTCATATTATTAGAAAAGTGTTCACTGTTTGTAAGAAAAGTTCATCGTGTATTAAAAATGTTTAATATAAATTAAGAAATTGTGTAATCATAATATTCTTGAAACTCATCGTGTATTAAGAAAATGTTCACCATAAATTACGAAAATTTCACCGCGCATTATGCAAAATGTCATCATATCTTAAGAAACAAATTCAACATATATTACGAAAGTATTAAATTGGCATTGAAAACATGTTCAATGTATATTACCAAAAGTTCATTACATGAAATAAATGTTCACTGTTCATCATATACTAAAACCCATCATAAAAAATGTTCAGTAAATATGTTAAAAATCCAGGAGATAAACCAACCTAGCGAATGAAAAAATAAGAAAAAAAAACCTAAAAATAAACCAATACCAGAATAAAAAATAAAGCATAATAAGTAAGAGAAATGAAACGTAAAGAAATCTGGGCAACGAATGAGCCCCAATACGCCAGGTAAGTGCGAAAGGAAAAAACAATGCAGGCCTCGGTGGGCCGGCCCAGCCTGCCCATGTCTAGTATAAAAACCGTCCAGCCTGCTTCTTGACGTTGCGCAGCCGTGGCGCGGTGGCTAGCCCGCTGCTCTGCTGTACCGCAGGTCCCCGGTTCGAAATCCTGTGCGGGATTGTTTTCTTGTTCGTTTTATTTACTTGTTCAAACCGACGCAAATTTGCAAACGAGTCCGAATCCGTGGTGAAAATTACGAACGGAAAAAAGCCTCTCGTAGGAGCCTTTTTCCCCGAAATAATTGGGCATTTACATGATTACTCACAAACCAAGGAAGTTTTCTGCAAAAAACTTGCCACGTACGTATAAACTGCAGTTTTAGTCTTTTTTGCAACGCCTCGCCCCAAAGTTGATACTGATACGTAAAAATTACCAATCTGCTTCTAATGTCCCAATTGTGGTACTTCTGTGCAATTTACTCGGTGTCAATTTACTCGGTGTCAGCTGTCGTGTTCCTTGCTGCACACATGCCTCGATCACACTTTTCTCAAACAAACAAAAAAGCATGCCTCCATCAGACGGAAGTAGCATGCGACATGCACGTCGTTCCGTGTACGGAGCAAATGAGTGACTGAGGGAACACGCTTACACGCACACAACACAACACACGTGAAAGGAACACATCGAACCTCACTGCAACTTTGAGGACGAACCCAAACATGGAACGGACACAAGAAGAAGTTGTTTCTTATACCCAGCTCGGCCTGCATGCCAAGATAGTAGACAAGCTGAGGTTTATTCATGGACATGGACACAATCACACGCACAAAGGTGCCAGCATGCATGCATGCCGCTAGGCTACTAGCGGCAGTGGGTGGTGCAGAAGCAGCGGCGGCGGGCGCCGCGGCACTTGCCGCCGGGGAAGCCCTCGGTCCTGCAGACGTTGGCGCAGTTGTGGCCGCGCAGGCAGAGGCCCGCGAACCTGTGGCTCAGCGACTCGCACTTCCGAGCCTCCGCCACCGCCACCGGGCCTCCCATCTCCCCCGTGGCCGCGAGCAGCAGCACCAGCACGAGCGCGGCGGAGACGAGCTTGCGTGGAGCCTCCATCGATGGCTGCTTGTTCGTTACGAGTTAACGAGTGTATCAGGGTGGGATGAGTGACGGAGCTGCTGTGTGAGCACCCCAGCTTATATAGCGGCACACGCGATGCCAATAGGGTCCCACGAGTCACAACGATCGATGCAGCAGTCGGAGTGCACGTCTTCTCAAAGAGGAAAAGGCCGCAACCCGCAAGTAGGGTAGGACCGTAGGGTAGTATCCCACGTACGCGCGTGCTTCAATTGCTACCGTCCGCTGCTCCAGGACACGCACGGCGCTGGAAGCTTGCCAACAGAACTTTGTGTTCAAGCAAGGCGGATGGATTGCTACAACACAAATCCGCGTGGTCTGCGACGCCGATGACTGGATGGGCGGCCATGAACAGTTTGGCCTCAAGTGGAGTCAGGCTCTCAAGTTATGGTCGCGCCATGCCCATGCACACCTGCTATCGAGCAATGCTAGACACACGGGGATTTACAGGGGGATTACGGTGTAGTTAGAAATTGATTGGCTAGGATTTGGTTAGGTGAGGTGGATTCCGTGAAAGTCTGTCGATTCTTTCCGTGTGCGTGTAGTGTTATCGCCTGCTACCTGATGTTAGAGATACTGCGGCTGAACTTCCTGAATTTCGGTTCAGGTTAATAGAGGAGGACACAGGGTAGCTCGCCAACTTGCACAAGCTGCTGGTGCTAGGAGCGGGTGTAGAGGCCAATGTTTGGCCGCTTGAGGCCACTTTGTTTTTTGCCGAGTTGCTCAATCATGATTGTAAAAGGCATTACTGTACATTAATAATTCCCATGTTCCTGCAAAACAAAAGAGGTCCACGTCGAACACCTGTTTTGAGTTGTTTGTTGTAGTACTTTTATCATTTACAAATACCTTGTACGTATTTTGTAGGCTCATGCCTACACTTAACCGTATTTCAGTTTCAATAAATTCTGAAAACAAATTCACGTAATACACATAATGTACATGTGTGCAAATTTTCAGATCGAAATAGGTTTAAATGAGAGCTACAGAAAAAAAATCTGGGGCTTTTTAGCATATGTATTCTTCATCCTCATACTCCATTAAATTTATTTGCAGCTCGTAAATCAGGATATTTCATACTGAATTTTTACACACATACACATTACATCCTTGCATACATGTGTGTTGTTTCAGAATTTTTTGAAACAGAAAAAATAGGATTTTGAAAATTTTCAAATTAAAGGCCTCCAGGCTCTTTTAGCAGTTTGTATCTTGTAAGAACATGCGGGGGTTTCGTTAATGAAATGGAAAGAAATATCTTTCTTAAAAAATGTTGGCACACATGGGTTTTTTCTTTTGGGAAATTGCCACATATATAGTGATTGTGAGCTTCTGGCCTATATTGTGGTTCTAAAAAACTAAAAATAAGGTTTCATTAAAAAAATCATACTAATGTATTAATATATCTTGAAAATGAATAAATTACGTAATTTCAATAGAAAGATAAGTACTACTACCTCCGTCCGGGTTTATTAGGCTCCCTCTTATTTTAGATTAAAGTTTGACTCACAATTTTAACTAATAACATGTAAACTATACGTCACAAACATTATACCTTCCGAACGCTCTTTCAAATACAAATCCAACATTGTACTATTTTAAGCATATATTCTATATTTTATTAGTCATGTCAATGGTCAAAGTTTGACTCAATATACTAGGGGTCTAATAAACTGGGAGGGAGGTAGTATTCACTACCGGAAAAAGGATTGAGAAAAATAGAATAGTGTTCGTTTGTTCTGGACCGGGCATGGCTCAGGCTTAGATTTGTGGGGTTCGGCTTTTTAAAGCCCGGCCCAAGAAATGCTCAGGTCTCGCAGCGGTCCTTGCGCATGCGTAGCGCCGGGTGTCAGCTGCCACTGCACACATGGCGCATCGATCATATGGATCGATCTCGATCACACGGAGGTATAGCATGCACATCACAACTACAGGCACCATGTGACATGCCTGTCCAATTGTATACACAACGAGTGAGTTACTGAGGGAACAGGCATACAACACTCATGATTTGCCCAAAATAAAATCTTACATGACAGAAGGATTGACTGGGATAATCCCATAAATCTCGCAGCAACTCTGAGGACGAACCCAACAAGAAACAAACACTGGCAATAATCATACAAAAAACAAAGAAGGGACTCGCACCTAGCTTGCCGAGACAAGCTGAGGTTTATTCATGGACACGCACGCACGGACGCTCGCAGAAAGGCCACCCGAAAGAAGGCATCACCCGAAGGAGAGGCTTGTTAATGGTGGCAGTGGGTGGTGCAGAAGCAGCGGCGGCGGAACCCGCGGCACTTGCCGTCGGGGAAGCCCTCGGTCTTGCAGACGTTGGCGCAGTTGGACCTGCGCACGCAGGGCCCCCTGAACCTGTGGCTCCGCGACTCGCACGTCCGCGCCTCCGCCACCATCACCGGGCCTCCCAGCTCCCCTGCAGCGCCAGACAGATCAGATCAGAAGTTCAGAACCAGACCAAATGAATGTCACACACACCGGTACACATCACCGTCGCTACGCGTACGTACCTGTGGCGGCGAGCAGCAGGACGAGGAGGAGCGCCGCGGAGAGGAGCCTGCGTGAAGCCTCCATGGATCGGTACACTACAGCTTGCAAGTCAGGGTGCTGTGGGAGGGATAGAGCTTGGTGTGTGTGAGCAGCCCAGCCCGGGGACCTGCCTTATATAGAGGCACGGCGCCGCACGCACAAGCGATGCCAATGCCATCGGGTGGTCACACACACCGATGCGCGCGGCAGTCAGAGCAAGTGTGCGCCTCAAAGGAAAAGTCGACAAAGCGCCAAGCAACGTGGACGGCTGCCGTGCTCTGCTACCGTCCGCTGCGGCCACGCTCCAGCGCCTCGGCGATTACAGTGCAGAGCTAGCTACTACTAGCCGTTATACTTGCTGCACTGCTACGAGCGTTTGTCTTCGAGCTAAGGTGAACCGCTACAGCAAATTCACGTGACCTACGACGCCGAGGATTATTGGTTGGCTCACCGTGAGAGCGGCGAGCGGTTTTGTCGTGAACGTCTCCGGTCCGGTGAACACGGAACGCTAGCTACGGCGGCTAGCTGCGGCCCTGCTGCGCACGCCTCGGTCCGGCGACCGGCGAATGTTTACGGGTGCGCAGTGCGCCGGCGGCGCTTTACCCTTTTCCCGTTTGATGCTCGTTCCATCGAGAGAGATCGACCCGACTAGTCCGCATCACACGCGCGAATCGATCTCGATCGAGGTCGACGGATTTCTGAGGCAAAAGCGTATCGCGAATAAAGCGGAAAGGGCGCGAGATAGGTAAAATCTGGGCTAGTCGCGTCGGTGCCGACGTGCGGAATGTCAGCAAGGGATCGCCGCAGCGGAGGTGCAAGGCAAGGGCTCGCCAGGTGCGTGCCTGTGACAAGGATTGGAGCGGGAAAGCGGGACAAAGCTAGCTCATTTTCAGAAAAGGAAAGCGGAGCAAAGTGACGATCCCACAGATTTCAACGTGTTCACCTCAGCTTTTCTTCTTGAGTACTCGGCTTTTCTTCTTAAGCACAAGCTTTTCTTAAGGTAGATTCCGTTTAGCTCACGGTAATAATAACGCGTCAGGAGTTAGTCGAGCAATGCTACACGTACAGGAAATTACGGGCAAAGTTGGCTTAATAGAATTGAATAAAAGGAGAGTGAGGCGGGACTGTGAACGAATGATTTGATTGAAGTGTCTTGTTCCATTGATGATCACACATTTATACAAGGGGAACCGGCGCTTATGAGAAGATGCGCCTGTTCGAGGGGATGCGAGGAGCGGATGCGACGGTTGCCTGGAGAGGCTCCCGCACGAACGAGGCGGCGGTTGCCTCGAGAGGATCCCGTGCATGTTGTTATTTACAACAAGGATTATCTCTAATAATTAAATCCTAACACTCCCCCTAATCTTTGCTTATCCTTGTGACTGATCATCCTTTGAAATCATCTCCTCCAAAAACCCTGCGGGAAAAATTGAGGAGAAATATACAATATGCCATGAAAAACTCCTTCCAAAACCTAGTGGGAAAATAAGGAGAAAACGACATATATCGTCCATGCTTGCATTGATATTGCCTCATTAAAAACCTTACATGAGAAACCATTTGGAAAAACTCATAAAGGAAAATACTGCAATATTAATGATCTTATGATCTTAACAGGTTATATCTTAGGAGATTTCTTCCCCTGAATTTTGCAAGTCTCGAAGTCGTCGCATACCAATTCCACTTACATATTTATGAAACAGAGAACTTGGTAAGGACTTAGAAAATAGATCAGCGAGATTGTCGCATGACTTCGTTTGCAAAATACTTATCTCCCCCTTTTCTTGCTGATCATGGGGATAAAACAATTTAGGAGAAATATGCTTCATAATATTGCTCTTAATATAACCCGTTTGCATTTGAGCAATACAAGCATCATTATCTTCATAGATAATGGTGGGTGATTTTAACGAACCAGTCCCACTTGAACTTTGGACAAAGTTCATCATTCTGCGAAGCCATACACATTCTCGTGTTGCTTCGAACAAAGCAATTATCTTAGAACGATTGGTGGACGTTGCCACTAAGGTTTGCTTTGTTGACTTCCAAGAGAAGGCCATACCTCCATGTAAGAAGACAAAATCAGTCTGCGATCTAGCATCATGGGGATCTGACAATTATCCAGCATCGCAATACCCCACCATGGTTCTCTCTTGATTTTTCTAATAGAATAAACCAAGATCTTTGGTGCCCTGAAGATATCTGAAAATATTCTTCACACCAACTCAATGCCTTTTCGTTGGTGATGCACTGTATCTAGCCAGTAAATTAACTGCAAATGCTATGTCAGGCCTGGTGCAGTTTGCTAGATACATTAGTGCTCCAATAGCACTGAGGTAAGGAAACTCAGGTCCTAATACCTCTTCATCATCACCCTTAGGCCTAAATGGGTCTTTATCTCTTTCAAGAGATCTGACGACCATAGGTGTTTTTGAAGGGTATGCTTTATCCATATTGCACTTTTCCAATATCTTTTGGATATAAGCAGACTGATGAACAAGTATTCCTGAAGAAAAATGTTCAAGTTGCAAACCAAGACAAAATTTGATTTTACCCAAATCTTTCATCTCGAATTCCGTCTTCAAATGATTACATGCCTCATGTATTTCACGTGTAGTCCCAATGATGTTCAAGTCATCAACATACACGGAAATTATACAAAATCCATCAGTGGATTTCTTGATAAACACACATGGGCAATTATTGTTGTTTGAGTAACTCTTCTTCAGAAGGAACTCGCTTAGTCGGTTATACCACATTCTGCCCGACTGTCTCAAGCCGTATAACGACTTTAGTAGCTTTATGCAATACATGTTGCGATTACTTTTGGATCCGGAACCTTCAATCCCTCGAGAACTTTCATATAGATATCCGTCTTAAGTGACCCATATAAGTATGCAGTCACCACATCCATCAATTGGATATACAAATTCATTTGCACTCCCAGTGATATCAAGTATCGGTACGTGATTCCACTCATCACATGAGAATATGTTTCATCATAATCGATGCCAGGTCTCTGTGTAAAACCTTGTGCTACAAGCTCGCTTTATATCTCACCACCTCATTGTTTTCGTTCCTTTTACGAACAAAAACCCATTTTGCCCCCATGGGGAAAACATTAGGAGGAGTAGGTATTACTGCAATAAATACCCCTCTCTTGACAAGTGAGCGCAATTCGTCCTCTGTTGCAACCTTCCAGTTGGACCAGTCTGAGCATTTCATACACTCTGCCATGGACTTAGGTTCACGATCCAATGCCAGGTCATCTGCAATCTTTGAGGCGAAAAATATGTCGACAATTGTAGTCTTTTTGTTGAATGATTCTCCTGATTCAACATAGTTGATGGAAATCTCATCAATACCTTCTAACTCATTGTGATTTCTCACAACAATCGAGTCAAGGTGTACCGATCTCCCAACACCAATATTTGCGTGCACAGTTGTGCTGGGTTCTGGATGCCTAACATCCTTCAGGTGTCTTTCAACACTAGGTTGAATATCAACTCGTGGTTGACCTGCATTTACTATTTGAGGGATCCTCACTTCCTGCGGACGCTTCTGAGAAGCATTGTCCTTTTTGTCCAGTTTTCTCCCCCTCTTGGGCGGTTGAGTGGTCTTATGAGATATCTCAACTCTCTTTGGAACATTCATAGCAGGAACATGGGATTTGGTGACACCTTTATAATTAGTAAATGCATCTGGCAGATTATTTGCAATATTTTGCAAATTAATAATCTTCTGAACTTCCAACTCAGATTCATTCGTACGTGGATCTAAGGACTGAATGCCTTTGATATTCCAATCTATTTCCCGGCATTCTTTGTGGTTCTTTTCTCCCCCTAATGCCGGAAAATTGTCCTCATCGAAGATACAATCAGCGTACCGGGCTGTAAATAGATCCCCTGTTAGAGGTTCCAGGTACTTTATAATCGACGGAGATTTGTACCCCACATAGATCCCCATTTTTCTATGTGGACCCATCGATGTACGCCGAGGTGGTGATATCGGTACGTACACAGCACAACCGAATCTTCAAAGATGGGAAATACTTGGTTGATTTCCACGTACTGACTGCAACGGGGAGGGCGTATGATATGTAGTTGGTCGAATTTGTATCAACTCCACGGCATGCAATACCGCATGTCCCCAACAAGATGTTGGAAGACTACAGTTCTGTAGGAGTGGTCTTGCTATCAACTTGATCCTCTTGATAAGTGATTCTGCAAGACCATTTTGTGTGTGTACATATGGTACAGAATGCTCCACAGTTATGCCCAAAGCTAGGCAGTAATCGTTGAATGCTCATGAACTAAATTCAGCAGCATTATCCATTCTGATGGATTTTATCCTGTGTTCAGGATGATTTCCCCTCGGTTTAATGATTTGAGCGATCAACTTTGCAAAAGCATGGTTCCTTGTTGATAATAGACACACATTAGACCATCTTGTTGATGCATCAATGAGCACCATAAAATATCTAAATGGTCCCGATTACGGTTGAATTGAACCACATATATCTCCTTGAATGCATTCAAGAAAATTAAGTGGTTCATTCTTGATCTTTAGATATGAAGGTCTTGTGATTAATTTCCCAGTTGCACATGCAGTGCATACGAAATCCAAGGATTTGGGGAAATTAGCAACCGTTATGTTGTGTCAATTGAACCATCAATAATTTTTCTCATCACCCCCACACCAGGATGACCCAGGCGATCATGCCATATCTTGAACTTGTCAAGATTCTGAAAAATTATTTTGTATGCCAGATGTTGCTCTGGCTTGATGTATGTGTAATACAGTCCAGAAGATAGAGCAGGCAGTCTCTCAAGGGTTTCCTTGTTGAATCCCTTCTGTTGAGTTATGAGCAGGCTTTCAACCGCATTGTCTTCATGAGTTTCAATGTGGTAGCCATTCATGCGGATATCCTTAAAACTCAACAGGGTACGAGTTGAATCCGGATACAATAAAGCATCCTGGATTTCAAGTTTTGTACCATTCAGGAGTGTAAATGTGGCTTGACCAGAACCAACAATTACCGTGTC